CCACGCGGACAGAAGCAGCGGAGTCGCCACGGCGGAGCTCCACGCCTCTCAAGGCTTCTGATTTGGAAGCAGGTCGGGAAACAGGGCCAGCAGGCAGAGTAACCCAGTGATTAAGGAGCTGAGCCCACGACCAGAAATTAACTATCCATGTCCCTGGGGGGGGGACTCAGCAATTGTACCCTTGAGCAAGGTCCTTCCCCTGAACTGCCAGTTAAGTTAAAAACACCCCACGGTGTAAAGGCAGTGGACATAAAATGGGTCGTCTGGTCGCTGTCTGGATGATGTCAAGGAAGCAGGGTTCCCAGGAATTCGCAGAATCCGGCCGGCTTATTGGACAATCTTCCAGGTAGCATTCCCGGGCACGGACTGGATGAGGAAGCAATATTTTGGGCGCCACGGCAACAGTCGTTGCGTCGTCTGATTAAGATGGATTCGCTGCCGCCAGCTTGATAAATTATCAGCCACTAGTCTGGACCAGGAGCACCAACCAATGAAACGATTCTCTTTAAGGCTGCTTTGTTAAGCGCGTGGCACAGAACGGATTTCCTCTCGATTTGTTCACCTCATGATTTATTATTTCCCTTTTTCACTGCCCCCAGCCCCCCCCACTCCCCCTCCACCCTGGGGTGCGGCGGGATGGAATGTACGTGAGCGATAAAGGCGCTTTCTGACAGTGAGGGGCAGGGGGATGATGGCAGACCATCCCAGATTGATGGACGGCAGAGAATGAGAGACGGGACCTATGTCAGAAGGAGCCCCTGATAAGGGATGGGGGCTGGGGCAGGGGGGGGGGGATGGTTTGGGCCTCGTAAAAATGCAGTGCAAGCTTTTGTCATTGCCATAAACCATGGCCCCTTAAATCAGTGCTCTGAAAGCTGAAACACAGGCACCTCAGCCAGCGTCTAATCGATAAACTGCTTACTCACATGTTTATTAGTATTAAGGGCAAACCATCCAGATAAAAAAACAAAAAAACGTTAAATCACCCCTCGGAAGGGAGAGGAGGCGGCGAACGCCCCCTTCCCATCATGCTACACGTCTGACTGCTGATGTCATCAACGCCGCCGACACGCTCTGCATTCTGAAGTCTGGAGCTCGCGGCTTCCCGCCGGCCCGGCCTGGTTCCTCGCTCCCATGATGCTCTGACCCAGATTCTCCATCTTTAGGCGTGCATGTAGAAAAGTGCAGAAGTCTGACGATCCCAAGCGCTGCTTCCCACGCCCAGTTACCGTGGACAGACAGCAGTTACAGACGGGAAAGGAACATGTTTATTATCAAAAGTAACTCGCTTCGGAATGGACAGTTGGGCAGCTCGCTTATAGATATATTATGGCCCGATTGCTGGAAATGTCTCGCTAAATAGCAGTTTGAATACCACAGCCGGCCTTCAGCGATTTCCCCTCCAATTTGCACTCGACAGGCTACTGGTTAGGAAATCGAAATGACAGACACACTGGGCCTCCAAAATGCCACATGGCAAATGGATTTCCTGCCTATTTCAATCATTTATAATTATTGTTACACAATGCCAGTGCCAAATACTTACAGATATTTCCATTATGCATAGAAACGGGGCATCGTCATCCTCCGTCCGTGACCCTCTCCGGCCATGTGGATCTTCAGCAGGTTCATGTTCTGCTCTTTTGATCACATGTGAATTGCATTGACAAGAGGGAGCCATTCTCACTGCCAGCCTTTCGGAGTGGCAGCCCCTGGAGTTCTCATAGAATGCCCCGTTTCTGAGAACCTCAAAGTCCTGTAGACAAGCTACACCACATGTTTGTGGTGAGACATTTGATTGCCACAGAGAATGGGGCTCATACAATGTATCAATATATTGATAGTTCTTATAATTGTTGGCAACTAACTGCCATTCCAAATAGAACTTAAGAGGCTTTGGGCATATGACATGTTATGTCTCTGGGCGGAAATGGGAATGGAATGATCCATTTTCAGCATTTAATTTTAAGAACTTTTTCCAGATATGACGATAAGGCCTGATCACTAAAAGACCTAATTTTTACAAAACTGTTCAGCTGGGCATGTTTTATGCAAAGCAGACCTTATTTGCATTAGACATTTCTGATGTTGGTTTCTTTGTAATAATTCCTGCCTTACAGGGACCTTTGTGTTGAGTGGGCGCAGGGTTCTGGTGCTGAAATGCCAGCAGCGGAGTGTCTTCGAATCGATGGAGGTGTAAAGCACTATGAAATGCAAGGAAAGTCCTTTAGCAGAATGCTAACTGTCTTAGCCTCACATGCAGCTGAAACCAGCAATGATATTCAGAGTCATGCGTCATGAAAGAAAGGGATAATTATGCTCTTATCTGGACCTCATCTCAGTGCAAATTGCTTATGATACTCTCGTATTCTATGGCCATAGAGTCGCTCAGACTTTAGCCATGATTGAGATTGAGTCTTTAATTTGTTTAAGAATCTGTTTCTTTAGAATCAGCTTAAGAGATCAACCCGAGGGTCAGACCATGGAGAGAAACTCCGACAGGGTTCAAGTTCAAGGCAGGTCCTTCTGCTGATCCCTCAGGCCATCAGCTAGTGTCATGTGGGTGACAGCGGCAGGAACTGACAAGCAAGGGATCCAGGCCTTTATGCAGGTCACTAACTGGTCCCAATGTGTCCATCTTCCCAGAACCTTCTAGATCATCAAGACTAGTGAAAGCGCACTCTCCAGCCATTAAATATGGCGGCCCCCATGAGTGGTGGGGAGAGACTCGAGAGTGAGGCTGAAAGTATGGGAAAGGGATGTAATTAAAATGTGCGATCCCTATCCTGCAGGGAGTAAGTCTGCCCAGAAAGAGGGGCACAAACAAACAGACACACTCCCACGCAGGAGAATATATACCCACACATGTACACACACGCACACAGAAACACACACAGGCACATGCATATATGCATGTCATTCATGAAAGTAATGAGCATTTAATACAGCTTGAACATAATTGTTGAGCGTTTAATACAAAAGCAGAAAGCGATAAGGGTGTCTGTGAAAATGGGAATTCATAACATCGGAATTCTCCCTTTCATGTTTCCATGCTGCTAATTCCTGGATTTTACCGTTTCTCCACAGCATGATTGAATTGGCAACCTGCAAAATCCGCCTCGTTCCTTAATTATAATCCACTTCTACCGACAGATTGAAAATCATTAAGTAGTCCAAAGTTATGCCTGAGCCAAAAACAAAAAAAGGATTGAAATGGGCCAACTCAGGACCCACTGCATGCTCCTGCAGAAGGGAGCGGTTCCCGACTAAGAAACTACGTTTTTTTTAACGTCGTTCTGCTTGGGGTCGTCACCTCAGTAACTGTAATATTGTGCTTCTGGTTTGTATCTGATGTTTAGAAGAATTGTTAATGGAGTTTGTGCGGCCGTTTCGGAGCCTTTCCTGTAAGCAGGCATATCTGTGGGCGGCCATAATCACATTACACTTACGGTGATTCCCCGTGCTCCCCTGATGATGCGTGCTGTCGTCCCCATGAGACCCCATGAGACCCACCACCCCCCACCCCATGGCCATGTGGCCCAGCCAATCTAAGGATAGCGGGGCAATTTCTGTATGCCGTCCCCATCACGTCATCTGTTGGTTGTCCATGGTTTAAGGGAAGAACAGCAAATAGCCTGGTCTGCTCGGGGGTCCCTGTGACCTCACTGCACGCTCTGCTTATGCGCTGAGGATGCAGCGAGAATGAGAGTGAGAGAGTGAGAAATCCTGATTTGTGCTGCATGGGGTTCCTTTCTTGGCACATACGGAAGCTTCCGGGGCTAACCCTGCATATTAACATATTGCGAGGTGGGGGGGGTGCTGTCAGCCATGTAACTGACCTGTCTTTCAGGTTTAGCCCTACAGGGGGGTCAGCTTCCTCCCGGGAGGCACCCTGTCTGCCTACTCAACCCTTAGATGTTGCACCCTTTGATACAGTGAAAGTGGAACAAGAATTGTTTGCAGAAAACGCTTTGTTGACTTCATAGGCTTGTTTGTGTGTGTGTTCGTGTGCATGTGTGTGTGTGTGTGTGTGTGTGTGTGTGTGTTGTCATCCAGTGAAACCCCGTGAGACACCCCCCCATGTGTTCTGATGATGTCAGGGCAATTCCTGTAGGCCCCTGACCAGACCTGGCCGTTTGCTGTTCTTCCCTTATTCCATGGAGAACCAAAGTGATGAATACCCATTTTCTTTTACCTTTTGGGGACCAGTTTCCTGATCCTCTCAAGGGAAAATTCACTTTCCTAAAACTCCATGGCTTATAGCATTTTTCCCATAGAAATGAATGAGCGGTCCCCACAAAGGTATGACTACAGTTGTGTGTGTGTGTGTGTGTGTGTGTGTGTGTGTCTATATGCCATTCGCTTTATTTCCTGGCTGGATTTTGAGGTTATTTTATATATCGAGTTGCACGGCCTTTGATTCGAGGGACAGTCCATCGCATTCTAATTCTTTTATGCTGTGTTGTTGCCCTTCAGTATTATACAGCAATATCTCCCGTAGGCAGCAGTGCAGTTCCTGCTGATAATGCACTTGTGATACTTAATGCAGTTGTTATTTGCACCATCCCATAAGTCACTCTGGGGATGGGTGCTTCCCATGGTCACTGCTGTGTGACAGCAAGCAGGAGGAGACTGTTCAGAGAGGAGACCCTGCAGTCGTCTCGTTTGTGGGAACTCCGTAGCTGACTTTCTGCTGCAGTGTGATGATGCAGGGTGTACCCAACAGCAGACAGGGTCACGTTGTGACTTCAAAACAGGCCTGTACTCCTGCACTCGTTTTCTTTTCATTCTGGTGGTGACATCCTTCCATCCGCCGGCATCCGCGTCCCTTTGTGCTTCCTTCTATTCCACTTCCTGTCTCACTTCCTGTCCCACTTCCTGTATCACTTCCTGTCCCACTTGCTGTTCCTCTTGGTTTTCACGCCTGACTCTTCCTTATGCTCACTTCCTGTAAAACTCTTCTTCTTCCTCCTCTTCTTCTTCTTCTCTTTCTGTTTCAGCAAAACTATAAAGGTCAAAATTATTGATGACGAGGAGTATGAGAAAAACAAGGCCTTCTTCCTTGAAATCGGCGAGCCCCGCCTGGTGGAGATGAGTGAGCAGAAAGGTGGGGGGATCTGCCCTGAGGCCTTGACCCTACTGCCTGCCCTGTCTGCCGCGCCCCCCCCCCCCTCCCCCGGCTACACCGTTCTGCATTCACATCATCAAGGGGCATCACGCAAAAGGAATGGCCACAAAACCAGAACCACATGGAGACACACTGCTATGAAACAAACATCATAGCCTCATTGTAGCCCTACATGCAGAAGGTCCAAAAACGGCCCCCTGCATGGCGAGCGCCACATTCCGTTGCACATTTAGAGAAGCTGATTTGCCTGCGTCTTCTCATGATGCTAACCCCTCCATGGCCCTTCCTTGGCGTGTGCCCAAGCCTGGTCTGAATGCACCACGGACATTACCCCCCCCCGAGCCGTGCCAGGCTCCGGCACGCCGTGTGCCACGCCTGGACGGTGCAGGTGTGGGCTGCGCATGAGTGTTCTGCGTGCATGACTCCAACCCCTGCCCCCATTGTTGTCTTGTGTCCCCGCAGGAAGACCGTAACCATTAAAATACTTGACCGAGAGGAGTATGGTAAGCAGTCCTACTTCTTCGTAGAGCTGCGGGATCCCGAGTGGAAGCAGCGAGGATGGACAGGTGTGCGAGTTCAAAAGCGTAGATGGATCTGAGCTCAGACAGCTCAGGCCCCTTCCTCTTCACTCCTCTGCTCTCTCTCTCTCTCTCTCTCTCTCTCCCGCTCTCTCACTCCCCCCCTCTCCGTCTCCTCCTTTTTGATTCCCACACTCGCTCTGCCTTCCTTGCCTCGCTGCATTTCTGATTCCGCTGGATTAGGGCCACAGATGGTAGTCGAGGAACCCGCCACTTCCCCTTGGACAGTAGCACTCGCTAAGATAGCATGTCCTCGTTAATGGGATGGAGGGCCGTCAACATGGACGGGCGTGTGCCCTAACAGTGCAGAGAGTTTCCGGCCGTCTCGGCCTCTAGGATCTCGTGCTCTTGTGAAGCCCACGGAAGGACACGCCTGCAGCAGCAGATTAAAAACACTGGTTCCTCTCCACACTCGCCATTGCCTGGTGACAAACATCATGAGCAGTGCCGCAGAGCATCGCATGCTGCCTCAGTTGTAATTAGCGGGAGCTGTTTACACAAACAATGTAGCCTCACAATGGATTGTCAGAAATTTTGAGGCTTATTCGTCGGGACACGGCGGAAACGAGAAATCAAAGCCCAGCGCACAGAAACACAAACTCACTTTGTTGCACCAGACAACAACGGCCCAGACCGATGGACTTCAGGATCTTACAAAGATCCTTTGCCTAGAAAGATTAATATTTAGCCCACCTTCAGCCTCCAGTTCTGAGGCTTTATTTATGTTATTTATGAATTTTTTTGTCATAATTTTTTTACCCCCAAAATGGCCGCCTTTCAACGACATCCGTAATTAATCTGCCTGCAAACAGCAAGAAAACAATCATTTAGCATCACGGTTCACTTAGCAGCCCTCTGCGAGCCGGATGTTGGGGAAACAAAGCTTGCCCGCTTGACAGTAATTATCGTACATTCGCTGGACTAATTATTTACGTTATTGCATTATCTTTTAAAGAGGACAGTTGTGGGCAAAGCAGTTTAATTCTGGTTAAACCACCACAGAATACTGGATTCAGTTTCAGGACTAGTCTGACTTTGTTTTTGACTGTATTTACACACCTCGGTCACCCTGAGCTGGAGCGTCCCAGTAGGCTGGCTTGTACCCCAGTAAATACCCACAGGCCTCCACAGGGGGACAGGGATCACGAAGAATCAGCGATGACTGACTGAGTCAAACAACAAAAGATGAATCCAAGCTTTTCTCTTTTGAACTCTGCTTTCAGACAATGATCTCCAGACATCAGAAAAAAATTACTTTAAGCTGGTTTAGTAGGGGTTGGGGAAACTGTAAACAGATGTAATCATTAAAGTACCCCCCCGCCACAAGAAGCATTTTGACTAATTACCTAAATGTAAACTAATCCGAAACAAAAACAAAATCACACGTGATGTTTGTTCATCATTGCACAACCTGTGTCTGCGCTTGTCAGTTGGAAAACAGTTCGCTTCACTGGTATCATATTTATTCAGCTGTAAAATAAATCGCTTTCCTGATAAATCTGTTCTTGCCTTCGCCATACCTTTAAATATCCATTTATAGCAGCAAGACAATAAACTCCTCAAATAAATATCCAAACCGTTTTATGGATACAAGCCATAGACAAACATATCTTGTTTAAACATGAAAAGTGACATAGGCCTATATAAAACATATTAGATGCCATGTCATATTTTATTTTGCTGTCTGCAATATTGATTATTACATGAAAGAATTCACACATCTACCTTGAAATTTCTCAGCTTTAATAAAAAATTATCGTCAGCTTTATTCTTATCAGTCATCTGGTAATAAATATGTGCAACTAGTGGTACATATTTATCTTTTAATGCTGTTGATTACTCAGGGTAAAAATCCTTATGTATTTGGATAGCATACCCCGGTCTCAGACACAGCCAATGAGGGCCCACTGACCTTTGGTCACATGACAGGAAGTGCAGGACGCCATGTGTACGTGCAATGGGAAGACAGGGCTAAAATATGTGGAAAGTGCCCACTCCAGCCCCTTCCTTCTTGCATGCTTTTCCTTCCCTGTTTGGTTATGGTTTTCCGAGACAGACTTTGCTTTATGTTTCTTTTCCCTCCTTGCTTTCCTTGGTCCCTTTCCTGCCCTGGTTTCTGTCCGTGTTTCAGCTGTTGTCCCAACAGGCGTGTTTCCGCATGATGACTATAAGCTTCTTGCTCTTCAACGTTTGCTTTCGATTTACCTCAACAGTTGAAATGCTTGCAATGCCTTTTCTAAAAGATGACGTTTTTGGTGCATGCGAATGCAAATCGCTCTCGTTTTCCTGCAAGATTATATGGTTATTTTAATATCCCACATATATTCTTTTATTGTAATCTAAATGTCTTTTATGTGTGGATTAGTTACTGTGATCCTTTAAAAAAAACAATATAACGTAAGATGTATACATTATACCGTTGAAAACAGAATTACTGATAATCACCATTTTTGGTTCACCATTTCCCATAAAAAGCCAATTCTTCTACTCAGAAAATCTTGTGTTGGTATGCAGCCCCACGACAGACATCTCCAATCGAACCCCTGTGCCCAGATGAGCAAGCGTCTAGACTGCAAGAATCACGTTGTCCCCCATAAAATGTGCTTGTTGACCCCTCTTGATACCCCCCATCAGAGCTGGTCATTGCCTATCGATTGCAGTGTCACGGACACACGACATCACCAGCGGCATCACCGGGATTCTCATCTGCGTCGGTTTTTGATTGGGGGAGTTTGGCGCGTCGGTTTCCATCGGGCCTTGAATGGTCGTCTTCTGCTGCTGATTGAATTTGCCCACGTTGAGGAGTCACTTTGATTTTTTTTTTTTTGCAAAACAGAGATTGGTTTTTTCACAGATTCCCCCCCCCCCTCCACCGTAGGCATCCAGCAGAGGACAGCCGTCCTGCCCAAGGTGCCCCCACCCTGTGTGGTGAGCTTCCTGGAGTGGGCTGTAGGGCTGCCCCAGCACCACGCTGGTTAAGCGGTTATGGAAAATTAATATTTGGATGATTCACTGATGTCCTTCTCTACTAAGAAGAAGAGATGGATGGAAAGTTAATCCATTACTGCATGGCTCCGTGTTCTCCTGGTATATCTGCGCTGGACCCTTCCAATTTCATGGCAGATGTTTACATAGAGGAGAACTTGACAGGAAATTCAGTGGGATTGAAACGTTTTTAAAAGAACGAATGGTTTAAACTGTAGCTATTATTGTGTCACGTTTAAAAATGTGCTGGGAAAGAGATGTATTTTTTTTCCTAATTTCCCAGTGCTCTAGTGTTTAATGTTATTCCAGCTACTACCAAAATTGGTTTAGTGACAGTATCTTTAATGTGGTACCATTGTGCCTTTAAAGAAGCATGTGACTGGCAGCGCGTGATGTCATTATAAGCGACTGAATTAACCTTGAGTGGACCACAAAAGCACAGGAATGAACACATTTGCATTTATTTAGCAGATGCTTTAATCGAAAGCGACAGACTTCCTGGGGTAATTGGGGATTAAGGGCCTCGCTCAAGGGCCCAACTGTGACATCACACCGTCGACCCTTGGATTTGAGCCACTGACCTCCCAATTACGAGCAGAGCGTCCTACTCCGCTGAGCCACACGGCGTCTTACTGAGGTGGAAGTCACACGGCTCAGCCCTACAGGCTGTGAGTGTCTCACTGACCTCACAGGAGGCTTCCAGCTGTAGTTCAGTCACTACACCAGCTCAGCTGCAGCCCCTCTGTACAGGACACATCTCAGAATCTCCATCACCGCACGCCATTCCCCGACATACAGAACCACCCTCAAAGAGAAACTCCCCCTTTCATCATCATCCCGTCTGGCTGTCATTCCGATGTTCGCAGAAGGCTTAGGCACGATGTCCTGTAAGATCCGGCGCTATTTTAACGGCATTTTTCCATTTTTTTCTGTCCTCGCGTCAGTGACTGTTGAACTGCTATCGCAGAGCAAGTTAGCAAGGGCAGCAAGTAGGACATGGGCTCCTGACCTGGGTCGAGTCCCAAGAGCAGTGCCGCTGTTAATGCCCTTGACCGAGAAACACTCCAATAAAATATCCAGCAAAAAGGAAACAGATGGATGAATGAGTGAACGATAAAGAGAAACACGCCCAGTGGATCATGTCCACGCTGTGGCACGTTAGAATTGAACTAGTCGGGCTATACACAGTGTTTTCGGAAGGTCTGATATATAATGTCATTATATAATGTCATTGTCATGCATGTCATTTTGGGGATGATGTGCCCACGAGGGGGCAGGATCTACTGGTGACAGCAGAATTCCCAGCGGTAGCAAGTGGTTGAAGGGGCAGCACCATACCAGTGAGTGGGAGTCACAGTGCCTCAAATAAAGAGGGAGACCTTCTGTCTTTGGATTGATCTGCTGGAACAGGGTCTGGTCAGCAGACGTACTGGGGGACAAATGTGCGTCAGGAAATGGCCGCCTGAAACTCTGCGCTCCGCTGACTGGAGCGGGCTCCCTGTTGCCAAGTCGGACAAGTCCAAAAGAAAAAATGGACTGGAAATGCCTCAGAATCCGGACCTCCGTTTGGAACTCCACCCCCCCACATTTACCGTGTTGTTTTGCAAAATGTTTATTTCTTCATTTTTATTTTCCCAAGTCTGCTTTTTTATATATATATATTTTCCTGGCCGGTTTCCGCAGGTCTATCCTGGTCTTCACGTTTCTTGCCAAACTCTAGCAGTGGATGGAGAGTGATGTCACGTAGCGCTGGGCCAGCATGCCCGCCTTGTCGCTGGAGAAGGGCGTCATGGCCGCATCATCTCTCCACCCTCATTTATCAGAGCAACAGATGTCTGCTTCTTGAGATGTGGCTGCTCTAAGTCCCCCAGCCACCTTGAATAAAATTGTGGCTTTCCCAGTTTCATTTCCGATCAGCGGTCTCCGCACAGTGTCGACTTCTCTGTCCCACTAATTGTATTTCCCGCTTCCTGTTTTTTTTTTATTTTTTATATTAACTTAACTTCTGAAGGGTCTCAGTAATTATATTTGACAGTCACGAAAAAAAAAAGCTTCCAATTCAAGCAGACTTAGGCTCAACTGGTATTTTGCGATAGTTTCATCTGTATGAAGACAGGCAAAAAATAAGCTTTGGAACAATGGAGGCGGTTGGCTCAGCGAAATCCAGTGTTTCTGGTAATAAACACTGTGGTTTCTGTGGCTCTGAGGCCTGGCGTATGTTTATTAGGATCTGGTGTCTGCCAGAACCCAAGAGGGTCGGCAGAACAAGCTTCCCTTTAAAGGGATTTTGAGTGGGTTTATCCAGTGGACGACCTGCTGGGATTCACCACAAGTCCATTTTGCTCTGGAAAAGTGAATCGATACCATGGTTCTGAATCGAAACCTCCCTGTCCCGTCAGCTTTTGATCGGATCAAAGGCCACCGAACCTGTGTGGGTCTGTATTCCTGGGGTTAGATGTTTGGAAGGCCTTGGCATGGTATCTACTGCCCTCCCATTTCTCACCTGCTTCAGAGGCTTGGTTCCAGCGCCACAAGACCTGCTGTTTCCACCCTTTATAGCTGCAGAACTTTCCGCTGCGCGTGTGACTCAGTGTATCCCGACGACGAGTCCACTCCCTCCCACACACCAGCCGTCTCCATGGACGCTCTACCTGGGTTGTATTCATCGTAGGCTCCGCAGTTTGGTTTGGCTCAGCTGCTTGCCGTCTTCCCACTACCACTTAAGAATCCAATCCTCCCAGCTTTTTGTTATGCGTCCGAACGACATATGAAAAGGCTTTGTAGCATTTCACATCAAAGGGCCACAGCACTGTGCACTACAGCCAAAGTAGCCTCTATGGGTTTTGTGGGAATTAGCAACCTGTACTCCAGATCTTTCACCGCTCTTTTGGCTTGTTTGACATTTGCACCAGCTTCTTCTGGAAACTCATTCTTGTCTTGCCAAATAAGTGGCGCGTGGTGATGACCTCACTCGCCTCAGGGCCCTGCTAACATTCCCAGCGGTTCTGTGTCCTGTTGCAGAGGAAGGGGAGCCAATCGGTGAGGAGGAGCCCCTCACCGGGAAGGACGAGGAGGAGCGCCGCATCGCCGAGATGGGCCGGCCCATGCTGGGTGACCACCCGAAACTGGAAGTGATCATCGAGGAGTCCTATGAGTTTAAGGTAGCTCATGGAGTCCATGCTCTTAAAACTCTCTTCATGTCCCTCCAGCTTCTTCGAAAGTCAATAAGGCTTGACCTTAGCAGAGGGTAGCAACCAACTTTACCCAGACTTTCTGAAGCATGGCTGTTGGTAAAGGTTCTCAAATTTACACACTCTCAAAAAATTGTGAGATTTTTTTAAGCTTATCTGTAATTTCCTAAATTCTCTATATATAATGTCTGAAAGATACATGAAAGAAATCAATGGTCCCATCCTAATGTCAGAATATGGACTGGGTGTTACTCAGTTTTCTGCTTGAGTTGACCAGAGCAATGTGATGAAAATTTGCTATATGCAGTGCATCCAGAATGTACAATTGGCATTCATTGTACAGTATCGCCCATCGTCTCCCCCACAACCTTTCCTGGCTTTGACATCATTCAGCCACTGATTATGTGCTCGACTGTCTATTGTTGTCATGTTTTAACTTTTAAGGGTTAGTTTCTGAATCCCCCCCCCCCAAACTTTGAAGGAGTGGGCTTGTATTTCTGACAGTGTTGTTTGTATTACGATGAATTATGCGCTGTAAGCTTGGCTCCTGTCAGCCATTCCCAAACACGGCGCTGATATCTCGGTGTGTACATGCTTGCACTCTTATACAGAGCTTATGACAAATTAGGCTTGACTGAGGTATTAATTAAGTGCATCGCGCAGATCCATCATGTGACCGAAAGCATTACTTAAGATCTTGCTGCAAACATACTGTGATACTTATTCGTGATGCAGTATATTCCTGTCATTTGGGAAGCTTTAACAAAACATATTTACTGATTTATTTACATGAATCATTCTTTTGATTATTCATTTAAGGCCCACAGATAATAATCACTGAGTAATTGAAATGTAATCATGAACACAGTATTATTCATGTTATTTATGTATTTCTTTTTTCTTACTACAGTCGGATAATGAATGTAAGACCTCGGCTAATGCATTTGATTTAGCGTGATGAAATGAAAATGTAATGAAAATCTATGAAAATAAAAATGCAAGGGATTTGTCCAATCAACAACTCCATCAGGCCTAATTAATGAAGAGTTCAGCTGGGCCAGCACCCAGGAGGAGGTCTGGGGTTGGGAAAATCAGCATGTTTTCGCATCTGCCTTGCAATTTCACCCAGATGACTCACTTTAATGCCAGCAAACGATGGTCGTGATGTATAAATGCATCAGAAACTGCTTGAAAGGTTCTGGGTAAAGGAGCTCCATCCAGGGCAGTAAAATGGTGGTGTTCTCTTGCAGAACACTGTGGATAAGCTGATCAAAAAGACGAACCTGGCCTTGCTAGTGGGGACAAACAGCTGGAGGGACCAGTTCATCGAGGCCATCACTGTCAGTGCCGGTGAGTATTCTTTCCTGGGACCAGTGGACAGCATTGAGGTCAAACTGATACACCTTCTTGTAGCATTTGCTGGAACTGCACTTGCAATACCACTCTATTGTATTAAGCGCCCTCTAGTGGTACCGCATGGATTGCGAATTCCCAGGTGCAGATACCCTTTTGTTTGGAGGTCTGCATTAGAATTACGGTGAGTTTGTGACCTACAATGTGTCATGTCCTGTGACCTACAAGACCTCTAATGGCCCGAGGAATCTCATCTGGTGAGTGTTGATAGCTGATACATCTTCCTCCTGTATTTCGCGTTTATCTAGCGCGCCTAACGGAGCCGTAGTAAAAGCCTTGTTCATGATTCTGTGCCCTAAATTGCTTTTCTTTACCGAAGTGGAGAGAAAGCTTACACCCTCATTCTGCCATCCACAGGCAGATAGGGGAGTCACCGGGTTTCCGTGTGACACACTCTGTGTGGGTTCTGTGTGTGACGGGCACTCTAGGGTGGCATGCGCCCTAACCTCAACTTCATTCATTTCCCTCAAAGGCTCCAAAGACACATTTCGACATGTCATTGCAGGAGGTGTCCTTTGGTGTCACTTGAGCTGAGCCAGCGGTGTTAACAAAGAGGGACAGGATAAGTCACACAGGGAAGGGGTGCCCACCGTCACCTCGACAATCTTTAAATTTGGGAGTATTTCAGTCATCAGGGAAAAATGAAGTACTTCTGGCTCAATGTGCCATGAAATATTTTTGATTATTTCTAGCGAAATGCCTCCGGCGCCGCACCCCACCCCCAGTTAGCATCAACAAAGCCGAATAACGAGCCTCCCTCCCGACGGCGAGGCTGAACCCTTCCTGACCTCCGGCTCCCCCCAGCCAGCCAATAAAGCAGCAGGACCATAATCAGTTGGACGTTCTACCACAGATGATGGGTGTTCTTATTGGGTCAATGGAGAAAGGAAGAGTCATTAACTGTGATGATGGTGGTCCCGACGTTTATTTCCAACATGGGCAAATACGAGTTATGAGTGACTCCCTTCGGCCTTTAGGTAGCCCCCGATGTGTTTTTTTTTCCGCCAGGGTGTTTGGTGGACCAGGACCTGTAATGTTTTCTGGCGAAGCCCAGTTTCTGAAGTGGTCTTACAGACATGTGACTGTAAAAAGCGACCAGCGGACAGAAGTATATTTCAGGAGTGCCCCCTTGTCACCGTCGGCCCGCGAAAATGCTGCCATTTCTTACAGCCACATTGCCGGCTCCTGGATGTGCAGCTGCTTAAAATTCACACTGAGTCATGAATAATTGACTCCGGCTTCTCCTCCATCCCAGTATCTCTGCTTTCCTTATATATTTTTTTCTCTCCAGATGGTAAAATAATTGTTTTTTGAAGCATAGGGAATATATGAAAAGCTGCAGCGTGTGCGAGTGTGGGGGGGGGGGGGGGGTGTTGGGGTGACAGGTGTACTTAAAAAGGAGAGAGTTTCGAAAATAATGAACGGTGTTCATTAAGCACATTAGCGCCCTAGAAAACGCTGGGATGAATCAGAGGCGCCGGATCTGCTGACCGTTCCTACCCTCAGCTTAGTGGGCAGTGAAGTTAATTTGCGTTTGTTTGCCTCTTATAGGGGGCCGATGACTCACATGCTTGTCCATGATCTTCTCTAAATATGGCTTTTTGAAAGTGCAGTTAAGTGACTCAGAGCGTTACACCTGATAAACTTCACTGTCCATATATCGTATTGAGAGATGCAGTCCCGTGTGTGGTCCTCAACACTTTCTCTAAGTGCAAACACAGACAGATAACCTGCTTTTTCCGTGCATGTCCAATCAGCATGCAGCGTGTGTCTGCCTTATCGTTTGCCATTGAGTCTTGATTATGCAGATAATCAGTTCCCAGAAAAAACCTTGCTGGACAGTTTATTGAGGAAAGGTGATGATATTCCACAAAATGATCTTCATTGGGGAACAGCAGAGTCTACTGATGAGAGAAATGACGCTGTTGACATGCAATGGGTAGGGTTTATAGTGCGCTGTCAGTCACTGCCTCATTTAACCAAATTGAGATCCCACTCAACTACCCAATGATAAGAGATCCCGTTGAACTAACCGTTAAGTAGCAGATGAAGTATTCATTGACCGTCCACAATAATCCCACCCTGTGGAATTTGACTAACTTCTAACTTCCTGATGAAACACAGCTAAAAAAAAAAAAAAACACTATCGTGTTACTTTATCCTGACACTGAAGTGACAGCTCAGCCAATCAAATTTCAGTCAATTTTTATCTGCAAGCAAAGCAGGGTAGAGGGAGGAGAAGAAACAAGGATGGTCTAAGGATGATCTTGTCTACCTGAACATGCCTAGTATGAAGGAGGTCTTGCCTCGTGTCTTTGGTTAAATTTTAGACTCTGCGTGAGACGTTGTCGCCTTCGGAAATTGCAGTCTTCATAGGCGCTTTTTTCTTAGCCCAGAGCTGGACGCTGTCCTTGATCTTCCTTTGGCAAGGCGGCCTGGAGATGTGAGAATTGTGGGAGAGACAGCTAACGGCTCAGGGCTGCAGACTCACCCGAGAAGCCTGCTGCTCTCTCTCCAATTAACACGGACAGCAGGAGCCCGGCCAGCCTGCTGCTCTGACTCCTCCCGCGCTGCACTCTGTGGTCGGGGCTGGCAGGACAGCGCAGGACTGGCCACCAGAAGCTTTACACAGGTCCGTTTGTGGGCTGGTGGGGGCTGGCCAGCACAAGAGGAACATGGCCTGTTTGAGGTTTCCTCTGATGGTGGGGGGGAGCTTATTTCTTTACGGAATCTACAAGAGTTGCATGGAAAGCGGCATGGAAAAAAGGCACCCCGCCTTATCAATCTCCAGGGTTTAAATTAAAACTGGATAAGGGAAGAGATTATATTAGAGAGTATGCCCACTAGAGTATTCAAGTATACATGGATAGGTGTGAGTGTTTCTGCATGTGCGTGTTAGGGGGTGTCTGTCTGTACATACCGTTTAATACTTCAAAGGCTTGATACATTGTTCCATACGCTGATTTAGCCCAGCGAAATGTTTAGGTCACACAGAAACTAGAGGATTCTGGGAAGGTTGCGGGTATTTAAATATAATTCATTATGTTCACGCGCTCCAACAATGAAAGGGCCAACATAAATATACCCTTAGCACACAACAGCTGCTTCACGTGATGTTCGTAATGTACAGCTAACGTGTTCCACAAGAGCGTAGTGATTTCAGTCCCGCTGATTCGTGACTGAAGTAATTCACATTTTAATTCACATTTTCTCATGTTCAGGGAACCCCCAGGTGACTGCCCTACCCCCCCCTCCCCCCCAGAGAGAGATGAGCCCCCCCACCCCTAACGGTGCAGTGCTGCTCGGGGGACACAGTGATCCGTGAAGAAGGGTGCTGGGAATGTTTATGAGGCCTCCAGGCCCCAATCTTATTTTTGCTCTTCAGATCCTGCTGACTGCAATGATAACACAGGGAGTCTAGGACAGGGACAGCAAACCAACATTTTTCACAGTCCGTTTTTTTTTAGGTTACGGTTGTTGTCAGCTGCCACATACCCACCTCCCCCCGCCCACCCCTTCCCGCCAATGCGCTGTGAAAACGATGAGAATAAATAAGATTTATATCAGCATGTATGGAATTCTGGCCATGTACTGATGGCGGGGAGCAGGTCCGATTCACCCCCCTCCGCGATGGAAGCAGGGGGTCGGGGTGGTGCATCAAATACACCTTCCCTCCTTAGCGGGACGGTGAGTTTAATGGCGTAACGCTGTGCCCAGTGTTCCCAATCACTGTGAGGTGGCCTTGCAGTGGGCAGACCCAGTGGGAACCTGGAGTTTCACCCAGAGGGGGTGGGAGCGATTCTCACTGTACTGGGCATCAGTAGGTCGCTCACTTACAGCTTCGGGCCGAGACAGAAGAGGGGAACGGGAGTAATTGGGGGTTTACCTGGCATGTCGGGTTGCCCCCTGGGCACACACTGACCGACGGGCGTGTGAGGAAGCCCCTCTTTTTCTCCATGCTGTGGTGTTATCTTACCGGGTGCCCTGTCGTGACTTTGAATTTTTAAAATATATTTACAGGAGATGTGCCCCTATCTCCCAGGAATGGCGTAGGAGCGTTTACGCGCCGTCGGCTGTGTTCTGACTCGGCCTGGCGTGTTCCCCATGTCGCCCGCTCCTTGCTGTTCGATTTATTGCGGTCGACGGGTGAACGGGAGATGAGAGCGATTACACAGGTGTCACCCTTTCCCACCGCTTCACTCTCCCGAGTTCTGTTCGGGTGCCGGTAGGATTCCTCAGAGACGTGACGGTTCTCGCACACGCAGTCATCAGCTGTGAAGTCACCTGCTGACTCCTGAGTGTGGGCGTCATGGTAACGCATGCATCAGGCAGAGAGATGGTCACCATCAGCCATCCGGGCCAGCAACACAGAAAAACATTAGTTTCATTATATTAAAAGGTTCAATCAAATCACTGAATGTAATTCATGTTTTTACCATTTCATTTTTTAATTTGTTCTTCATTTCTCACTCTAATATGGGAATGTTGTCTTTGTACACCTGTGAACACATAAGCCAGCAAGTAAAATTTTCTTTTTCTTTTTTAAAATGTTTTTTTTTTTTGTTTCTCTGCTTGTCCATCCTTTGCTTTTCTTTCCTTTTGTTATTTTTTCCTCTGCCGAGCACATTTGAGAGTCAGTGCCTTGTGGCATTCTGTGTGATTTCAGCTTAAATTTGTAAAGAAACGACCTTCAGTTGCCCTTGACTAATTCACGTTGTGAGTCACTTACAGCCGGTCTGTTTGTGCAGCAGAGCCTGTGTCAGGGTTTAAGAAGTGTGACCAACTCATTTTGAGAATGTACAGCTTTCTGGAATGCAGAGCGTGTCTGTAAGCCCCTGAAATCACGGTGTGACGCTTGTTTGCATTTCAAACGACTGCACGCCTGGACTGCCACTGGCCTGAAGATGACAGCTTTCCTCTGATTAAACACAATTAAA